TTGTTTGATACCCTTTACCCGGCAAATAGCCCAACCCGGCAACCAACCGACGTGAATCTACCTACAGAAATCCAATGTGAATGTAACAAATTAAATCATAAATTGAATTGAAATTTTGTAGTTTAGATTTTGAATTTTCGGTTTGATGATGTATCTGTGCTTTTCTTTGCAGTTTGATTACGATGCTGAAGGCACATTGCAGTATGCGATGTGTCAATTTATGCAGAACGAATTCGTCTCGCATTCCGCGTACCAAATAATATTCCTATCCAGTTCGTATCTGCTGCCATTGATGATAATTAGCGGCCTGTATGTTCGTATGATAATGCGATTGTGGCGACAGGGTGGCGTCCGTATGTCTGTGGAATCACAACGCGGTCGCAAACGCGTAACGAGACTTGTGGTGGTTGTGGTCATAGCATTCGCATCATTATGGCTCCCGGTGCAGGTGCGTATGAAAAGTTATGCTCAGATACGGGTATATAATTTTTGATTTTTCCATATATAAACGAGTAGCTTATTTTCGCGAAATTTAAGTATACAGGATGGGTTTTTTTTTAAATTGTAAATTTCATATCGAAAAATGTTCGTTTTTGTGTAATTAAGATATTATAATTTCATATATAATTTCATCGTTTAGCTCATATTAATGTTGAAGGCATTCAAAATTTATCAAACCAACACCAAAACGAAGGTGATACTACAAATTGTGGCACAAACACTGGCCTATACGAGCTCCTGCATTAACCCTGTACTCTATGCATTCCTATCGGAAAATTTCCGCAAAGCTTTTCGCAAGGTAAGTACAGTTAGAAGTAGCGGAAAAGTAATAATTTTATTGGTTTTCTTTTATTACTTGAATTAAAATGAACAGAATAAAGAGTAATTTAATCTGGCTAGTCATATCTGAGTAATGGCTGCTCATATCTTAGTAAGATATATAGATAATAACTAATGAGACAAATCTATATGCATATATATATATATTATTTATATAAACAACATGATGTAAAATAACGAAGACATATAGAAATGGGATCTTATAGTTCCCGAAATATGAATATTACTAATTAGTTTAAGAAGACTAGGTGCAATTTCAATAAAATAAAATAAACAAAAAAATGTTCGTGAGAGGCATATATACTTCGAAACTATACAATCGATTTAATGAAATTTTTATAGCAAATTATTATGTAAAAATAAAAATGTTGCGCTATATATGGTCCTGGTAAAGTGCACTAGTGTGGGGGTTAACCCAAAGATGAAAGGAACATATTTTATACAAAATTACAAAAAAAAAATCAAATAATTATAATTTTAAACAATGAAAGTTTAAATATTGCAACTAAATATATTTATTTATTTATAAATAAATATATAAATAAATGCAACTAAAAATAAAATTGATGAATAGCGTAACAAACGTTTAATTATTAAGAGAATTACGCTAACAACATGCAGTATAGTTGAAACACCCGAACAACGTAATGCGGACTTTCAGGCAATTTTTGTGTGTTGTAATAAATTTAGTAAATTAAAAACAAATTAGGATTTAATTGTATATTTTAAGTGTAGTGAACAAAAATAATGCTACTTAATACTAAAACAAAAGAGAAGCGCATTCAAATTCTGTTGATTTATAGAAATAAATGTTTATGGACTAAATATATGCAATATCAATATTTTACCTTTAATATAGTTGCATTTATTAAAATTTTTAAAATATTTTTTTCCTAAATTACATACTTTGTTTACACGTGCAGAAATCAATCAGCAGATTTTAAGTGGCTTTATTATATTAAAAATTAAATTTCACCCAAACTGTGAACTGATCTCTGAAAATAGTATCTAGCACAAATGCTTTATATTTCGAACTCATTTTGAAAGTCCATAAAATATCGTTTTTGTACCGGTCTGCCACTCGAGGTCATTCGTTGTAAACAGAAATGATTTACTCGCCGAATTTACAACTTCAACATTTAACATTTTTGCAATTTTTTGAAGGCAATTCAGCTGCTTTTCGTTATAAAATATTTATTACTAAATTCGTTTATATTTGCAACCCAACCTATAAACAAAACACGTCTTTTCTTTTAAATAAGTAATTATGCAGTAAATATAAAATTGATTTTGCTAATTTTTATATTAAAAATTTTACGCATTCAAAATCGGAGAAAATTTATGTGTACAGTAATCTATAAATTATATTGACTATACACCTCACATCAAATTGTTGAAAGGGTTGCATTCAGCGATGAATGATTCAAACAATCAGATCTTAGATCATCCATTGAATAATCAATAAGCTTATGAGGAATACACAAATTAGTCAGTGAGGTGGGTGAGACTCTACAGAAACCCCACAGTTTTCAAAGAGTAAAAATGCCCAGATGCACTAACTCGGAAAAGGCTCAACATAAGATATTTTAATACAAATAATTAAATATATATTTTATTAAAAAATTGATCTCATTATCGAAAGAACTCCTCCTGAGCATTTTTTTAACTGAAGTGGCTATCTTATGATTAACTGAATCAAATTTTGTAGAACAATGAATATTGTAGTTGAAATAATTTTATATATAATATAAATAATAAATTTTACAAGCAATGAATATGTAATTAATTTAGTATCAGCCATTTTTTTTTCTACCTGCACTACAATCAGTCAAAAATCAATGATTATTATACATGTTTAAATGACATACCCCGTAGATATAACAGTCTTTTGATAGGTTTACTTACTGTGAACTAGGGAAACATTCTAGAAGATTAGAATGTTTCTGTCCATCTGTCGCAGCTGTGGGGAAAACGATGAGACTGCCTCACATCTACTATGTTTTTCTTAAGGATTTAGACCAATTACAGGACCTGACACTAAATAGCATTTTGGGGTTCGCCAAAGGTTCGAGGTAGTTTTAAACCTCGAGTTTTTTCTATATATACGGTAACACAATGGGCCAATAGGTCTAAGTCTATTCACTAAGGATCGCCGGTATAACCTAACCTGAGCTATTCATATAAAGATGCTAATAATTGTCATTATTGGAAAAATGAAGTTCCTAAATACCTCTTCAAGTTATATATATAGTATTTGTTTTCTCTTATGTTCGACGTCTACAATCTGATTCAAAAATGCTACTCAACTTCCTTTTGTAGCACTAAAGTCCTGTCTGTTTAAGTTTTGATCACACTCACTACTATGCTAACTGCTAGAGTTAAAAATACCAGAAACTATAATTAAACAGAGAATCTTTTCTCACCTGTAACATCAGATCCATTCAGATCTTTTCAAGTTGCATTACTTGTTCGTATCTTGTAATTTCACGTTTTGGTGAACCTCATGATTTGGTGATTAATCAGCAGATGAGTTTTCTTTCTTTTTTTGTAAGTTTATGCAAAAAATAATGTTTATATAGTACTACTTTAAAATAATTCAGTACTTCTAGATATCTCATCGACGTATAAGGTAAACCATTTTGGTAAATAATCAACTTTCAATCTCGAAATGTAGACAAAGCTGTTATAGATTGATTCGATTCACCAAAGCGATATCTTTGATGTTTTTTTTCACTTCGCTATGAAAATCTTGACAAATTTTATACTTTTCACACGCTACATAATGCATAAGTTCGTTCCTAGTATCTCAACATATACTCGTATCTAGAAAATGTACGAATATTGAAAAAATATCAATGTTTTATTTATTCAAACACTATTTGATGTTATAATAAACTGCGCGGATCTTCTATTTACCACTAAAACTGAACCAGCGAATTTATATTCCCAAGTTTATGAATTCATTGGCGATTGGCAGCAGATGTTTAAGTCGTAAAGGAATAAATATTTTTAATGCTTTTTTCGACATATGAAATTGTTAGCA